CTGGGGATCGTTCCCGGCTCCCTGTCCCTGGATCCCATGTCCAGCGGCTCACCTGGTGGTTGGGAATGCTGCTGATCCCATGGATGGACAGGGCTGGGGCTGGAATGGCTCATCCCGGGGTGGGAAGGGCAGGATGGAGGGGTTGGGGTTGTGGAGGAGCCTCAATCCCAAAGGGAATACCTGCAGGAAACAGGCTGGTGGATCCAGTTGATGCTGTGGAGCTTTGGGATCTGCCTGGAGATCTGGGGGGTGGTTCCAAGGAATGGGAACACAAGTTCAGCTGGTCCCAGGTTGTTAATTCCAGCTCTATTCATTAATTACCTGCAGTAATTAGTGCCTCTGGAAGCACCCCGGGATCCTCCTCCCTCCTTCCTTGGTGTTCCCAGGGGCTTTGGGGGTGGATGAACCAGCCTTCCCTCTCCAGGGCTGTTTTTGGGAATTTAGGCCGCATTCAGAGGGATTATCCCAGTGGGGGGGAGGTTTCCAGGCTTTTTTCCACTGGATTTTTGGGAGTTGGGATCCAAATCCAGCTCCGATTTCTGTTGGCTGAGGAAGCTGAAACTGGAGGTTGATCCAGGGCTTTTCCAGCTCCTTTCCTCCTGTGACTCCCATTTCCTGCTCCAGCTGCTGTTGGAGATTCCCTTCTTCCCCCTCTCCCACCCCCTGGAACAGCAGGAACCCCATCCCTGCTTCCTTTTCCCCCCAAATCCCAGTCCTCTGCATGACTTGGGAAGGATTTGCAGCATCTCCCTGTGGGATGTGAGCAGCTCCACAGGGAATTTTGGTGCCTCCAAATCCTGCTTTTCCTTAAATCCATCTCCCATTCCATCCTGCTCACCTCCAGGAAAACAAATCCTGCTCTGCAACCCCTGAGGGTTATTTATCCTTAGGGAAAGGCTGATATTTCCAAAAACTGGAGTTCCAGCAGAGGAGAAGTGGGAAGAGGGATGAGAGGACACGTTTTCCATTCCCAGTCAGCTCTTCCCATGCGAAAAAAAAAAAATAAAGGAATTTCCAAGCCCAGGCAGCTTTTTCCACACGAAGAAATGGGATTTCCCCAGAAAATGGAATTTTCAAGCCCAGGCAGCTCTTCCCACCCCAAAACCCGGGATTTCCATGCCATTCCCACACCCAAACTCAGTTCCCTGCCCCTCTCCCTGAGTTCTGGGGTGTTTTCCGAGCCCGGGGGGCTCCTGGACGCTCCGAGGGGCCCATTCCTGACTCCTGGTGGGATTTGTTCCGGCAGCTCTGCGCAGGAGATGAAGCACATGGAGAACCTGTCCAGCCTGGCCCAGGGCAGTGGCCCCATGGAATTCCAGCCCTCGGAGCGGGAGCAGCCCTGGGAGCTCATCATGGACAAGAAGCACTTCAGGCTGTGGCGGAGGCCGATCCAGGGATCCCACCTGTACCAGTACCGAGGTATCCATGGGCTTTTCCGTGGCCCAGATCCCCTGGGATTGGACCTCACTCATCCCTGTCCTCAGGAAAAACAGGAATTACCATCCTTTACACCCATCCCTGCTGCTCCATCCCACTTTATTCTTCCAGAGGGCCTTAAAACTCCCCTTTCCCTCCTAACCCTGCCCTGGGATCACGAGTTGCTCATTGCCAATCCTTTCCTGGGATCAGGAGTTCTCATTCCAGGCTCTGTTTTCCAGTGTTTGGATCCTACACGGATGTGACTCCTAGGCAGTTCTTCAATGTCCAGGTGAGCAGCACCTTTGGAATCACTTTGGGGGGTGGGATGGAGCTCCAGGAGCCTCTTCCAGAGGATGGGATGGGGGAACTGGGAATATTCCCTTCCCTTTGTACCATTTGCACAATCTAGAGCCAATCCCAGTGGATTATCCTGTTCTCCAGGTGGGTTTTGCTGCTGGAAGTGAAGGATTGGGCTGCAGGATCCCAGTGGATTCCTGATCCCAAGTCCCTCTCTCCCAACTTCCAGGATATTAATAATTCCCTGCCTGCCCATGACACTGAATGTTCCCACAGGAGACAGGGAAAAAAAAAGGGATATTTCCCTCCCTTCATCCCCTTCTGCTGGAATTTCCGCTGACTCTGCTTCTCTCCCTTCCCAGCTGGACACGGAATATCGGAAGAAATGGGATTCCCTGGTGATCAAACTGGATGTGATCGAGCGGGACGTGGCCACGGGCTCCGAGGTGATTCACTGGGTCACCCACTTCCCGGTGAGTCCCCGCCCATCCCGGGATCTGCCCTGGGCAGGGCCGGGAGCGGGGGCTGACCCCAATCCCGGGGCCCTTCCCGCAGTATCCCATGTATTCCCGGGATTACGTCTACGTCCGGCGCTACAACGTGGACAAGGAGAACAACCTGATGGTGCTGGTGTCGAGGTGGGTGTTCCTGGAGGGAATTCCCACCATTCCCATCCCTAAAGATCCACGGGGTTATAAACTTAATTGACTTTACTGACCCCCATCGATCCCGCCAAGATTCACTTGGGAAATAAAACAACAACTGTTTTTTGGGGGGGGAAATGTCGGGTTTTTACCCCCCACCTCCAAAAAACTGGTGGATTCTGGGTGTAATTGGCACCCTGAGCTCACCTTGGGATGCTCCCCCTCCTCCCAGGGCTGTGGAGCATCCCAGCGTTCCCGAGGATCCCGAGTACGTCCGGGTGAGGACCTACGAGTCCCAGATGGTGATCCGACCCCACAAAACCTTTGATGAGGTAAATCTGGGAAAGGGGGCGGAAAACCTGGCGTGGGGAGGATCCTCCTGCTGCTCCAGAGGGAGCTGCTCCTTCTCCTGCCCTGGGAGCTGGGCAATAATCCAAACATTGGGAAAGTCCAGCCTTAGGGGTTGGATTTGATGATCTTTAAGGTCTCTTCCAGCCCAAACCATTCCATGATTTATGGGAGGGGGATGAGTTATTTTTCCAAAGGCAAGGAAAGCATATCCATGTGTGGCTTGGGAAGGATTTGCAGCTCTATCCCACTATCCTGGGACTTTTCCTTCAGGAATTTGGTGCTCTTGAGGGAGCCACACACTCCCTTTCAGAGCTCCCTTTATGAGCCTCCCAAGTCTCATTCCAAGCACTAAATCCTCTTGGGAAAAGGCTTGTGGGTTATTTCCAGGCCATCCAGAGCATGGATAGAGCTTGGAATACTCAGGGAATGCCACCCCCTCCTCCCAAATTCCCTCCTGGTGGGATTTCCTTGGGTCTTCTGTCAATGCTCTCAGAGGCTCCGGCAGCTTTTCCTGAGCAGCTCCACAGGGAATTCCTTGGGGGGGGTGGGAGTGGCTCCAGCAGGGGTTTGAGATGGGCTGGGGATCCCAGGAATGTTTGTCCCCCCAGAATGGGTTCGATTACCTGCTCACCTACAGCGACAACCCCCAGACCGTGTTCCCGCGGTACTGCGTCAGCTGGATGGTCTCCAGCGGTGAGTGCCTGGAATTCCCTCGGGATCCTCCCTCCACAGGGGCCCCCTTCCCTTCCCGCTCCAGAGCAGGGAGGGGGATACATGGAGAGGCTTAAAAAGTGACATTATGGGGGGAAGAATTGGGAAGGACCAAAAAAAACCTGGGAGGGACAGGAAGAATCAGGAGGGAAAGGAAAAGTTTGGAGGGAAAAGAAAAACTGTGAAGGAAAGGGAAAATCAGGAGGGAAAGGCAGAACTGGGAAGAAGAACCTGGGGGGAAAGGAAGAACTGGGAGGGAAAAGGAAAAATTGTGAAGGACAAGAATCAGGAGGGAAAGGAAAAATTAGGAGGGGAAAAAACAAGGAGGGAAAGGGAAAATCAGGAGGGAGAAGAAGAACGAGAAGAGCTGGGAATGGAGCCGGAGGAGGGGATGGATTGGGAGCCTCTTCCCTCAGCATTCCTGGATCCCAGCGGGCTCTCCCTCCCCCTTTTCCCAGGAATGCCGGATTTCCTGGAGAAGCTGCACTCGGCAGCCCTGAAGGCCAAGAAGATGGAGTTGGAGGTCCGGGATTACCTTTCCAAGGGCTCAGACACGGCCCCGGAGCCCTGTGGCCCCGCCCAGCTGGAATATGCCTGAGGAGCTGGAATTCTGGGAATTGCCTCGGACAGGGACCTGTGCTGTGGGATTTCAGCCCCATTTTCCCTCCCCATCCCATTCCTGATGCTCAAGGACAGGGATTTGTTCCCCCTGCTGCGTGTCTGTGGTGGAATCTGCGTCTCCTGGTTGATGTTTCCTCATCCCAACAGGGAAAAAACACGGAATTCCCACTTTTTCTGGCAGTGGGTTCTCCCCACTCCTCATCCCTGCTCAGACTGGAATGTTTTCGGGATGCGGTGGCACCACAGGGATTGGTGATGGTGCTCCACGTCACCATTTCCAGGGGGTTTCCCCCCAGAAACAGCCCTTTGAACTCATCCCTTTGGGATTTCTGGGACTGGGGGTTGGGATTACTGGGATGGGGGGTTGGGATTACTGGGAAGGGACGTTTGAACTGGTGAATCTGGGAATAAAAGGCAGTTTTGGGGGGTTTTTAGGGATTGGGGGGCACTGGTGCTGCCCTGGGTCACCCTGAGCCCCTCCCCAGTTTGGGGGGTCTCCGTCGGCCTTGGGAATCTGGAGAAACAGCAGGAGCAGGAAACTATTTAATAAACATCTAGGATCTTCATTAGCTCCTAATTAATGACCCCCCTTCTCCCAGTCACCAGTTTGGGGGGGTTTGGGCCCCCCTTTAATCATCGCTATAAATTCTCACTTTATAATAAATTTATCCTAATTTTATCATTCCCTTTGGAGCATCCAATTTTCACCTTCCCTCCTTCCCAAAATTTAGCCCCCCCGCCCAATTAGCACCGATAATTAATGAGGAAGACTTCAAGAGAGGGAACCATCTCCCTCACACCTGGAATTCTGGGGGAGTTTCCCGTGGGTCTGATTTTTTTAGGGGGGGGTTTCCAGTGGATCCCACCTCCCCAGAGACTGGAATTCTGGGGATGGGGGGGGTTCCAGTGGGTTCCACACCCCCTCCTTCCCCAGCATGGAATTTTGGGATCTGGGAATGCCAGCGGTGGGACACACCTTTATTGCACACAGAGAGCAGCAGGCAGCGAGTGCAGAGGGGGGGCTGGGGGTCCTGGGGGAGGTGGGGGGAGTTACACCCCTCAGCCCCCCCAGCCCCCTTTTTGGGAGGGGGAAAGGGGTGGTTTCCCTGAGTTTCCCCCTCCTGAATCCCCCCAGGGTGGCTCAAACTTGGGGGTCCCCAAGGAACCTCGTACCGGGACCCCCCAAAGAACCTCGTACCGAGGGGTCCTGGGGGTGGCTTCCCGGGGGGATTTTATCCCGGGGGGGTCCCCCTGGTGGGATCTTGTCCCTTGGGGTCCCCCCGAGGGGTCACAGCAGGTTCTTGTTGCGCTTGGGGACGATTTTCCTCACGGTCCTTCGCTCCGAGATGTTCCTCCGGACGCGGACGGTGGGGCCCGGGGGGGGGCTCAGGGGCCAGCGAGGGGCTCGAGTGGGCCTTGGTCAGAGTGGGGGGGTCCGGGGGGGCCCCCCCTGCCTGTGCCTCCCACCCCTCCAGGTCCCGGGCGCCCGAGTTCAGCCACGTCTCCAGCACCTGCACGTAGGTCTCGTAGCGCCGGCGCTGGGGGGACGAGGGGGTCACAGACGGGTCACCCCCCTGGTCACCCCCCCCTGTCCCTGTGTCCCCTCCTGTCCCCAGGGTCTCTCTGTTCCATAGCAGTGTCCATCCCATGGGAAAAATAGGGGTGGGGATGGACACCACTACAGGGACACTACTGGTGACCTCATGTCCCTGTGTCCCCCCCCATCCCTGGGGTTCCCCTGTCCCATAGTGGTGTCCATCCCATTGGAAAAATAAGGATGGGAATGAGCCACTATCCCGGGGACATTCCTGGTGTTCCCAGTGTTCCCCCCTGTCCCAGTGCTGTCTCCACCATCAGGAGGATAAGGATGGAGATGAGCCATTGCCACGGGGACGTTCCTGGTGTCCTCCGTGGAGAAGGATTAAAATAAGAAACCACCCTGGGGACCTCCCCAGTGTCCCTGATGTGTCCTGGTGTTCCCCCTGGCTCGGGTGTCCCCATGTCCCCACTCACCTCCTCCAGCAGGAATTCCTTCTTGACCCGATACTCGTCCAGGTCCCGGGCACGGCCCCGGCCCTCGGGGAGGTGCCTCTGGTGCTCCAGGAGCTCCTGCCCCACCCGCTCCAGCCACTGCTCGTGGCACCGCAGCTGCTCCTCCTGGGGGGAGACCAGAGCTGACCCCCACCCGCCCACCCGGGGGGCTCGGGGGGGACTGGTGGGCACCCAGGGGTGTCTCCACCCACCCAAGGGGCTTGGGGGTCTCACCGGGGGCTGTGGGGAGGATGGAGCTGGGTGGGCGCCCAGGGGTGAACCCCCCCACTCAGGGGGCTTGGGGGGGTCTCACTCGGGGGTTTCAGCTGGGGGTGATGGGCACCCATGGGTGTCAGCCCTGTTTGGGGGTCTCACCGGGGGGCTCCTGCTGGGGGCCGTGGGCAGGATGGGCCTCACGAAGCGTCGCTGGGACCCCACGGCCGCCGGGAACGGAGGGGAGGAGAACAGGGCGGCCACGAGATTGATCCGGGAAATCCAGGACAGCATCTCCTCGGGGGTGCTGGGTCGTGACATCACCGGTGACGTCACCAGTGCTGCCACACCCTGCAGGGACCCCCCGCCGTGCCCCCCCTGCCCCCCCAGGTCACTCACGGCGCCTGGAACAGGAACAGCCTCCGCTCGGCCGTTTGCAGCCGGAACACGTTGGGCCGCTTGGTGTATTTGGGGGCCCTCTCAGCCAGGGCATGATGGACCCCCAGGGGCTCCTCGGCCCCCCCACCCTCCTCCGGGGGGGGCCCCGGGGAGTCCCGGCTCTGAGGGGCGTCGGGAGACCCCCCGGTTCCCCCCCCCCGGCCTTGAGGAAGAACAGGAAGGTCCCGCGGAGAACGGCCTGGAAGGGCTTCCAGCCCCGGCGGCCCCAGGGAGCTGGAACGGCGGGAGGGGGGTGGGACACAAGGGACACCCCAAAAATACCCCCCTACAGTGGGACACCGCCCTGCTGCAGTGGAGCCTGAAATGGGCCCCCCCCGGGTCACAGTGGAGCTCAAACAGTCCCACATCTCTGTCCC